GTGAGTACTTTCATCCACTGCCCACCCGGGCCACCTCTGTAGACGGTTCACGCCAGGAATGTCACAGAGCACCACGGTGTCCCCATGAGCTGAGGAAACGCTCTATTTATAGCAGGCGCTTCAGCATAGCTTCTTGAAATGGTATTTCAGATAAGGTTGTTTATGTGTTTTAATGATGTTTGCTCTTTGTTTCCCTTTAGGTTCGCTCTAGAATTTAGTTGTACGTAGAAGTTAATGAAACATTTTGATCCGTCAGGCACTGGAAATCGGACGGGTACACGTGTGCAGGTGATAAGCTGGCGTTTGTTCACATTGGATTTCAGTGGTGCTGGTGTATACCTTAAAGACATGGAGTGTTGAGTTGCTCAGACTGATGTCTGCCGGCCCTGGCAGTGGCTTCTAAGACAACAGCATCAGCCAAAGAGTCTGTCAGCCAGAGAACATACACCAGAACGGCTGATTGATGATTTGGACAACTGGGCTCTGAAACAGGATGGGACACAGTCAGAGGTGGGGGGGTGGGAGGTATGGTGTGGCGGTTAAGGGTGTTGTGGGCTGGTGAACCCTAAGGCTCCTATGCGTCACGGCATTAAAACAAGTCAGCGCCTGTTCCTGTCGAAGGACGAAAGCAGATCGATTTCCAAAGGCTATGGTATGACAGTTCTAATGGAAATCCTTTTTTTTAATCCGCCCAATCAGTTATGATTGACTCCATTAGATTGAGGCCTAGTAAACACTGTGGCTTTATAGTGGTAATAATGTAGATTTAGATTGATTTCTTTTTGCTTTTGGAACTTTATTTATGTTCCTCAGCACAACCAAGAATTAAACTGACCCTTCAGTATTTATTTTGCCAAAAAACATATACAGATTATCAACAACATATCTTCAAACCTCTCATTCCTACCCGTCATTGAATGCTCGCTGCAGCCTTCTCATAGACTCTTGCCCAGAAGTCTGGAGTGCCTTGTTGAATTTCACATCTTGCCTTAAAGATCACCTGCTGCCTCTTTCTCATCCCTGACATCCTCTTTTATTTGCGGTGTGAAGAGGAAGTAAGGATACTGGATCCCCTCAACAGGTGCTAGGGGTCAGCGTTGCGTGTTGGGTTCGATCATAATGCCTCGCTAACTCTCTTTGGGTACGACCACTCCTGCCACCTTCCCCCCCCTTTCACCTTTTCTTGGATTCGGCATGTGGTCTTTTCCAGATGGTTGTAATTACCTCTGTCTCAGTCCGTTTTTACGAGGACCCAAGACATTTCAAACCTCTGAATTCTTGTCTTTATTGTTTAGCATGTTCACGTCCAATCACATCACAAGTAGCTACATTCAAGGCCCAACTCATATGACAGCACCCTATAGAAAGTGTAGTCAAAAATCTTTAGACTTTCCACGATTTCATTTTGGAGTCAGCACATTTTTGCAGTCCCAAGATTCCAAGTACGACATGTGGATTGAATGAAAGCAGCTTTGCGGTTGAACGACGCATCCAAAGCAAATGTTTGAACCAATATCCTCTCTATATTTCTGTTTTGTTAGCTGACCCCATGAATTTTAAGTTTGTCCGAAGCCCTTTTGAAATGGGACCTGGATAAAAATAATAGTTGGTTGTCATCGAAAAGAGATCTAAGTGGGTTTTGCGACCTGTGTTTGTCTTGGACTCACAGCTGCACATTCTAGTCAGTCGAAAAAAAATGGCTTTGTCCCCCACTGTGGGTTAGAGGTCCTTGTAAAACTTGCAAAAGAATGTGTTGCTCCCGTTCTTCTGTGTAGTTTCTTATCGAAGAGTCACGCAGCAAAGATGGCCATGTATATATGCATATGCATGTACAATATGTATGTAACAAATGATAGATGTAGATTAGATTAGATTGAACCTCATTGATTCCACACTGGGGAAATTTGTTTTTTGCGAAAGAGAGCTGCAAAGTTTTATCTACAAACTTAACCTTCGATAAAGTTTAAGTTCACATAGATCGTTCACATATAAATGTATAGTCGGGGTTACAGTGTCCTTGTTACCATTAAAATCAAATGAATTACAGCTAGCTATATTAAAACGTTAAATATATGTATATATATTTATATATATATTTAACATTTTAATATATATAATATATAATGTTTAAAATTGCTAAATATATCTATGTATGTATAGTCAACATTTTTAATATAGGTAACACTATATACATGTTAATATATTATTTATAAATATACTGTATGTATTTGTTTAAATCATTCAGTATATACATTATATATTGAAATACTGATTAATTTTGTCTAACTCTATGATCACTACTACAGACTATGAAATTATATTTTTATTTGATTTTTTTTTTTAACTTTTTTTATTGGTCTTTAAGAAATCTATCCACTATTCCAGAAAATCCATTGCTTCAAAGTCATCATGTGATACATACTGTATGTCATTAGAACAGTTTTTAAACATTGCATTATTTTGCTTTCCTGCTTTTTCTTGTACATATAGAAAATGTAATACCTTTGTAGCAACAGGGCAATACTGCCACAAATACGTTGCTCTTGCATCATTCCACCTTGAATGGCAAGGCTCAGAAATAATATTATAATTATTATAAATATAATTTTTTACTGTCAAGAGTAAAATCGAAAAGTTCTTGCACTTTTGTTTTCTAGTCGGAATGTTTGAAAAAAACCTTATTTCCCCATTTCTGAAGTACCATGCCAACATCTAAATTAAAGAAGAAAAAGATAACCCAAAGAAAAAAAATATTTTTAAATGAACATATTTTCTTTTCCTTCTTTCTGTGACTGTCCTCTTTACAGTAACCCTTGTAAAACGTTGTGTTATTTGGTTTCCCGTATCTTTATAAGCAGAAAAGTGTCTAAATGACCAATCCTGCATTTAATTTTCCACATCATTGACTTTAAATGGAAAGCAGAAGGACATCACAGTTTGTTATCGTTCTTTCTAACCCTTACACCAACCAAACACATTCCTTGATGACTTTCCAAAAAACAACTTACACATTCCTTGATGACTTTCCAAAAAATAACTTTTTTTTCTTCCTCTCTCTCTCTCTCACTCTCTTACACTCTCACTCTCTCAATCAACTCCCTTCATAAAATCCCTTCTCCGATCCCAATTACTGGTAACCATGGCGGCTGGATAAAACTGGTCTAACGACACCAATGTTTTCTGAGAACACAAAGAGACTTTTATTCAGCTGCAGCCACACTCATTTGTGAACGTTTGATTATCATGGGAGCTGACACATGAAGGTTGACGTGCTGCGTTGCTGTGCGCCAGTTATGGTTATGTGCCTTGGCACACATGCTCCAACTTCGGTGGGAAAGGACTGGCATGTTGACAAAGTTATGACAGACTTGTCAAGGGCTGTAATGTGTGTCTGACAATGGGCAACTGTCAGTCACGTTGTGGGGGCAACGTGACTGATGGTCCGCCTGGCAGTCAGGGTTTCGTGTGAGAAAAGGAGTGTTGATGGTCACTTCTGGTCTGCAATGGAGCAGAAGTTGTTCAGTGCGATGTCGATGTTAGTAGAAGTCGAAGTGTCTCAATTGGTATTTTTATTGTAAACAATAATAACATATGGTCATTTGAGGGTTGCCCAACAGATAGATACAAACTACCAGTAGATCACAAATGGAGTAGATACATAGAGCTAAATAGATAGAACTTTATTGATCTCTTGGGAGTATCTCTTGCTAGATTATGAGGAGTTAAAATACTGGTAACCATATTTAATCATATTCTTCCATATACACCAGATACATGCGTTTAAACAAAGTACCTCAACATGCCATGTATATATACAGTAAGGTACATTAAGTTTTGATGAGTAAATCTATATGTTGGTTGTCTTTGAAGATTCTCAGTCATCCAGGTCATGGTCAAGGTTGAAGAGTTCTGTTAGGCAACTGGACGTGACATTTTCTCAAAGAAGACATTTCACCTCTCATCCAAGAGGTTTCTTCAGTTCTAACTGGTGGTGAGGTGTACAGCAAATATATACTCTAGGTGTGAAAGAATAAAGCTACTTCAGCTCCCCCCTGTTGGGTGGGGCCTTGGGGTCAACTGTGGAAGTGTAATCAGTTAAGAGTCTGATGGGTCGTTGCCATTGTCATCGGAATGGTTTCGGTCACATGTTTGTTGTGTGAGCGTCGGTTCCATATTGTAGCGGTTAGCACGCCTGCCTCAGAAGCAGAGAGGCCTGTGTTCCATTCCCAGAGGAACCACATGCTTGGCCCCTTGCTTGGGCCATCCTGTTAACAACATATCTGCTGCTAACACAAGAATTTCCCAAATGTGGAGTCAATATAGTTCTAATTATTATGTAATAATTTCAATGTAGGTAGATCATTTGGGCCTATGGCTCCCAAGCCAAGAATTTGTGGACACCCCTGATGTATTGGATAAACACTTGGTATTACTATTGTCACTAGGCTTTTAAGTCATCATTCACCACACATCAATCTTAGTTTATGGCTTAGTGCTAGGAGTTTGGGCTTGTTCCACTCCATGGGTTAAGTGCAGGGAACAATGTTTTTAGCGTGCTTACGTATGTATGTACAATGATAAATACAATCTTTGTCAACAATAACAAGTGGGGAATACTTGAATACCCTGAAATGTTTTTTTAAGGGAACTGTCTACTACATCTAATTGTGCTTGAATTACAGGACTGTGTATGTACCCAAAACACAATCCTTCAATACATATATGGAAAGTAGCTAAAACCACTAGCTCTAACTACCTCTAGATCTAACTACATGGTGGCAAAACTGGCTAACGCCCAGTTTACTGGTCTTTCAGTTTCGGAATTTGCATGTCCTAGCCAATGAATGAGCGTGAGTGTGATTGGTTGATTGTCTTTTCATGTGATCCTGCGATGTTCTGGAAAACTGTTTGTTTGTTTGTTTAATGAGTTAACCACATACCCCTTGTACTAGGATCCAAATCTTATCTCTCTCTCTCTTATCTCCTTCTGTGTCCTGCAGTGTTTCAGCAGCAGGCTGTCCACAGCCCTCTGGAGCAGAAGAAGAAGCAAGGTGGAGGAGGAGGGGGGCCGATCCCCTGTCAGAACTGTGGGAAACCCTGCAAAGGGGAGGCCCTACGAGTTCAGAACAAACACTTCCACATCAAGTGCTTCGTATGTAAAGGTATGTGCGTCAACCTTTTCATCCCAAACCTTACAGCTCTGTCTCAAACCGAAACTTCCTACTCCTAGGATAAATGACAGTGCCCAGGGGTCCTCAACCTCTGTTTAACAAAGAACCAAAGTCCTGGTCCGTGGGTCATTTGGTACCGTGCCGCAGTGTAGGAATTAAAAATTTAATTTAAAGAGAATCTGGTCGTTTTTAATTTACTTTCTTCATTTTAGGATAATGTGGATTTTTTTTGTCAAAATAATCTGACAGAATAATGTCTAAAATAGGGATGTCAAACATAAGGCCCGTGGGCCAAACCGGCCCTCTAGGGGGTTCAATCCGGCCCACTTGATGAATTTTGAAAGTGAAAAAAAATGCACAAACACCTCATGTCTATGATGTTTCATCAAAATATATTTCATGAAATATGAATATTTTCAAATATACTTGTACTTATTTATAGGAAAATAAAAGAGGGGGGCATGGACCTGTTGTTATTTATAGGTAAGTATGTTATAATTGTACTGGTCCGGCCCACTTGACATCCTATCAGACTGTATGTGACCCCTGAACCCAAATAAGTTTGACATCCCTGGGCTAAATTTTGAAATTTTGAAAATGTACTGGCCCTTCAACGATTGGCACAGTGCCGCTAGTGCGCAGTACCAACAAGTACCTGCCATCCGGTCCTTAGCGCAACAAAGGTTGGAGACCACTGACAGAGATGATCAATGAGATATCAATCACATTAACATATCTGGGTATATGTTGATGATACCCCGATAAGAAGTGACAGTCTGTCATAAAAAACTCCATGGTTCAAAATTGTGTCACAGAATATAAATATTAACATAGTAATACATCGACTTATTAGTTAGTCTAACTAGTTATTTTCTAGTGTGTTTAATCTGTGTGTGTGTTCTGGTGCGGGTGTGGGCGTTGACCTCAGTATAAATGTGACTGTATTCTATTAAAGTGTGTTTCTGTGCCCCTCCCAGCTCAGACTCCCAGCATGAGCCTTGTGTCAGACCAATGTTGTTGTCAACACACGCCCTGGTTGCTAGGCTACCAGCAGGGTCTTCATACAGTGGGGTCAGCTTCCTGAAGTTTATCACCTTTTTTTTTTCACCAGCAGACACTGTGTCTGTACATTCACAGCCCCTTCTTTATCTTCTATCTTTAAACCCAAAGCAGACACACGTCCACATTTTCCCAGCGATGCGGAAACAGTTGCGGATTATTTTATCGTATTGCCTCAGCCTCATCTGTAAAAATGTGCTATATAAAAATATAATTTTATCATGTACAAATACCACATATAAAATAGACCCGGTGTTAAATAGTAACCAGGTGCTGAGTTGTAAAAAATAATAATGTGTGACATTTGGAAGCACAGACGTGAGGTTGAGCCTGTAGTTTGGGCCAAATCGTGTCAAAGAGGAAAAATGACATTGTTGGCACCGGTTTTTACATTTAAAGGAATGTTTGCTTATACAGTCAATTCACACGTAGCTCACAGAGACCTAAAGTCATATTTAACAATGATAAAGATGTAGTCTAGTTATAATAATATTATACTCATAATTATATACAGTGGGGTTGAAGATACGAGTTGAATCCGTTCCACAACAGCCCTATTGTGTCCATCCGCTCGTATCTCGATTGAATCACTATTGTGTCGATCTGTATCTCGTTTGAATCTTCCCATTAAAAATAACTAAAAACCAATTATTCCATTCCACCCCCCAGAAATATACTTTTAAATAATGAAATTAAAATCCCTGATCTAAATATAGACTTAAACAAATATATTGATAATATATAATAATTAAGAAAACATGTTATATTATTGTTATAAAATTAGGTAAAATAACCAAGCGAGGGACAGTGAGTGAGTGTCAGGGACACTAAAGTTGGAGGAGGACTGGGAGTGAGGACTCAATTTAGATGATAGAAAGAGAGGGAGAGACAGTGAGAGAAAGGGTGCCGAGTGGAAAAATGGAGCTCGGTTGAGCACTCGTAACTCGATGTTTCCTCGTATCACGAGAAAAAACCTTGCAAAAGTTGTTCATTACAACTTACTTGGAACTTGGAAAACCCGTTGTTCGGGTAGCTCGTATCTAGAAGCCCCCCTGTACTAATATTAGCTAAGGCTGGGCGATTAATCAAAATTGGATTTCGTGATTAGGATATTCGAGCAGCCCTAGTATTAGCGCTGCACTAGTATGAAACATTTTCTTTTGCCTAGCTGTCTTTACCAAAGCTAGGCCAAGCTAAACCTGCTAACATTGTTATCCTTCTTCTTTGGGCTTTACGAGCATGTATGAATTTTGAGTTACAATACTGCCACCTATTGGGTCTTTTTTAACACTGGTAAACATGTCATCAAGTGGATGTGAAATTACCTGCAACATAAAGAAAAATTCTAGAAGAGAGAAGGGTTATATACTTTGCTAATGTCAACAGAAGCAAATACTTTTTGAGACCCTCTCAAAATAAATATTCTAATAATTCTATGGTTTATTTTGTACTTGAGCTTTAAAAAAAAGTTGATTTATACAACCTGTTTTCACAATCACGTGATATTCAGTGCTAGCGGTTGTGTTTTTAATATTAACAAATAATAGGAAGAAAAGGAAGTTGTTAATTAGGGCAGGTTTATTCTCTCATGAACAATTTTATTCTTTAACTTTAGAACCAAGAACCAAGCCAAATATCACATGCCCCAGGGATGTACACACATTTCTCTGTTGTTATTTTGCAATTACTTAAGGTTCTGTCCACACAGACCGAGAACATGTTCTCCTAACAGGAAAAATGAGTCGTGTCAGTTTCAGAATTGCTTAATTAGGAAAAGCGGCCCGGGCTGATTAAAGGCCCGACAAACCGGAGGTGTATTAATTCCAAGTAGACGTAACAGCTTTTCATTAAACAAAAACATGATACTTAATACTTACTTTTTAAAGACAAGAAAGTAACAATAACTTCTCTTGACATTAAATCCTTTCACCTTTATATGTCTTAAAATTGGTTCAAAATACAGATCCAAAACAAACAAACCCATGCACTGTAGTGTTAGGTCAGCTCTGACCTGTCACACACTTTCTCAGCCCTTACCCATGTCGTTTCTTCCTCCCCTGAATCTTCTGCTCCGTTCGCTCAAGTTACATCCGTCCTGGGCTTTAGCCAGTGAGCTAGCTGACACCAGGTCTGAATCAAGGAGCAATGAAATGTGTACTTAACACCGGGAAGAGCTGAGGGCTGGATTAACACTAGCTTCTGTTCACCTTTTTAGCACTGGCAGTGTGTCAGTGTAGCCCTGAGAGGGTACGCTCGTAAATCGTAAACATAGCTTTTCTGCTTTTACCTTGGGGTGTCAATAAGGAGTGGACAAATACATCTAGCTTAAATGGGTAGGTTGCAGTTTTAACTTATAGAAGTGGACAGGGTAGTGGTCAGATTATCATGCAATATCAACAAATTTCTTGCCTCAAATTTGATGCTCATAATTATTTGCATAGTTAGCATGCTAACTGCAAAGTTCATATTAACTGTTCATTGTTTAAGTCTGTCTTTCTGGCACTCATTATTATTAGCATGATTAGCATGCTCACCGCAAAGTTCCTATAAAGAGTTCATTGTTTAAGGTTGTGTCCTAGGGGCAATGGTGGCTTAGTGATTAAGGGACTGTCCTTGGGTCCAGAAGGCATTAGGTTCAAGTCCACCAGCTAATTAGCTCAACTTAAGGACACTACATTTTATAATATGATATCATAATAGTCAGAAGGATTAAATCTTGTGCTATTTACCTGACAAATTATAAATTCACTGATAAATATATTAAGTCTTCATTACACCCAGTTATTGCTAACATTATTGTTTTGTTTCAAATTATGTATACCCAGTTTTAACTTTACTCGTTGTGTCACTCATTTAGATCTAAATTTTGCCCCTGGGCTGTTTTTTACCAAAACAAAACTCCGACTTCATCCTAGGGCCGTGCACAACATGATGAGCTCTAATTGCTGTTTTCGTGGTGGCTGCCATCAGTACCAGTTGCTGCGGTGGAGGAAATGCGTGCGTTTCATCTAGGTAACAACTGTGTCTGCCCCTGTTGTATATCCTGTTGTGTCTACGCCCTGTGCGCTTTTAACTTGACACCATTAGTCTAGCAGAGCAGCAGACGAAATTACGACAGCTTGGCAAAACATCTGAGGGCAGACTTTTGTCCTGAATCTGTTTTGAATGTCATGAAGTAGCAGCTCTTCATCCGACCAGCCTTTAATACAGCAGGGAATAGTTGAATGTAGAAATGTGCTGCCACGCCCTAACGTCTGCAACCCTGCGCGGAGACTGAGTTCAGAGTTGACGTAGCGTAGTGGTGAATGTCCAGAGAGTTTACACAGCACATTTGCAAGGAATGTCAGTTTGCACACACTCCCTAACACATAAAAAGATTGATTTGTGCAGTAGGTGTTGTCAACAGTGACCGAAACAGCTTCAAACAAACACGAGGGTTACTGTTAATATCATTCATGAATTATAATGACTAGCCGACGTGTCAATGTTTTCGTCTATATAGCGCAGGGGTGTCAAACATAGGGCCCATGGACCAAAACCAGCCCGCTAGGGTGTTCAATCCGGTCTGCTTGATGAATTTTAAAAAGTGAAAAAATGTACAAACACTTCATTTTGTGATGTTTTGTCCAATTATGTTTCATTAAATATGATTTTTTTTTGTATTTGTGGGAAAACTAGACGGGAATGAACATGGACTTATTGTTATTTAAGGTAATTATGTTATGATTGTACTGGTCCAGCCCACTTCACAGCTAAATAGGCTGTATGTGGCCCCTGAAACAAAATTAGTTTGACACCCCTGATATATCTGTGTATATATATATATATATATATATATATATACTTTATATATATATATGTATATATATATATATACTTGAATGATACTTGGACCTTAGCTTTAAGTCTGTCTGAATTTTCAAATCTCATCC